GGTCCTAGAATGTGTCTCAGAACACAATGAAATTAAATTAGAAATGAAAACATTAGGAAAGAAAAGCAACAAATTTCTAATTTTGATACTTGAATAAAATCTAATCTAGATTACAATAAATATGGCAAATATTTAATGCCATACTGTTGGCCATTCTTCATCTATTATAAGGTTTTTATCTCTGTTTTAATGGATAAGCATTCATAGAAATACATAAATATGCATGTTAATGTTTTAATAAAACTCCTATCACAAAATGAAGCAAGTACTTCCATTGGTGTTTCAACGCCATCTCAGCATTACTTAGATGTGTTTTACTATCAGGAATAATGAAATGATTACAGTAAAATCTTTATATCTTCGAGTTAAGGAGAACTATATGTGATAAATAGCTGGGAATACTTGAGAAAAATCTTGAAGCACACTAATGGTTTATTTATGACTTCAGTAGCACTCTATACAATAGAGATCTCTATACAAACATGGATGCTACTATAAAAATATTTACTTTACCTTAAGTGTATGTATTATTTTTCCTGTATGCTACATTGTATTTCTAAAGTAAAATTTATTAGAAAAATGGTCATGGAAATAAAATGACATTAAATGCTTATCATCTACTATTCTTTGGATATTTAAAACTAACTCTCAATATTCCCTTTCCTGTGTACTCACAGCAGAAGTTTGCATTTAAAAATCTGAAAGGAATAAAAAAGAAAAACATACAAGTAATTTAGAGGCAGGGCAATTAAACTTCATATAATTTGACTTTTCTTATAAAGAAATCGTTGTAGGTCTCTTGAAAGACACGATTTGTAGTCTAGACAATTTTTGGAATGAGTTCGATCCTGACACTTACTAGAGAAATGTGGATTAACAATAGTATTCAACCACAGTTGGCTTTATTTTCTGCATTTTTAAAATGTAGCTTTATTTTATGTAGTAAACAATATATCTCTGACAATTCTTTCCTAGTCATTTATTTCTTCATTAGGATTATTAAATTAAATTTGGCAAGATTTACCTTACTGTATAATGTATGCGTGTAAGGAAATTGGTTAGATATGGGTAGAACCTCAATGCCATTGTCCATGAGAAATAGTTTAGAAAATTCCAGAATGATTAAGATACACTCTGGGAAACATGAAGTGAAATAATATGGAGACGATAATAAGAGGTTAGCACATAAGAAATGCATGAGTATTAATTATATCAGTACTCAATGTTGAGTCATGGAATATGGAAGACTGAGCAGAGAGTAAAACATGATGCGATATACACTGAGTTTACAAGCAAACTACAGAGAATTATAAAGTAATACTTCTATTACTGTAATAATTGTCAAGTTTGGCTTAGGTAGCTGAATCTACCACAGATGTAACATCAGTTTTTGAATTTGATGTGCTCTACTATTTTTACATGAAGTTCATTTATTAACAAAAAATAATTTTAAGAGTCTTGTTCATAGACAATGGCCATGCTGATCCCCCTTTCTGTTGGTGCTTTCCAAGGAATAGGTGTTGAGGTTCTTAATACATGATTACTTAACTGGACATCTTGAATCTAATTTTCATAAAGACATTCATTCCTTTTAAAAATACAAGGTCAAAACGATAGTACCACAAAATATACACGTAGAGCACTTGCCTTTCACATGGTCAACTCGAATTTGATATCCAACATGCCATAGATCCCCAGAGCTCCATCAAGAATGATCTTCTAGCTAGACCCAGGAGTAAGTGTGAGCACTGACAGGTTTGGCTCCAAAAACTGAAAAAAAAAGTATGTCACAATTGTAGACAGAAATGATAGCATGGCAGGTAGGAAAGGCACTTGCCTTTCACATGATTAACCCAGGTTATATTCCTAGAACCTCTATTTGTACCCTGAGCACTGCCAGGAGTGATCTCTGAGGGCAGAATCTGGAGTAAACCACGAACACTTCTAGGTGTGTCCCCTCCCAGAGCACCCCCACAAAAAATAAATAAAGACAAAAGAAAATAAAAAAAAAACAAGAAAGTCACATCAGAATCCCTTTATATAAATTTTTTGGATGTTATTGAACATTTAATCCAGTTTAGAAAGGACTAGAAGTGATACAGTAGTTGTGGGGAGAAGGTATAAGAGGATAATTGAACAATATAATCACATCTTGAAAGTCTTCATAATACATAATGTTAATTACCGAATACTTTTTTAAAAAGGCTTTAATCTCTCTCTGTCTCTCTCTTTTATTAGTGAAACACCATGAGGTACGGTTGTAGACTCACAAACTTTCATGCTTGCGTTTCAATTATACAATGATTGAGTACCCATCCCTCCACCAGTGCACATTCTCCACCACCAATGATCCCAGTAGCACTCCCACCCACCACCCAATCCCCCCCACTACACCCTGCTCCTGTGGCAGGGCATTCCCTTTTGCTCTCTCTTTCCTTTAGGGTGTTGTAGTTTGCAATAGAGGTAATTACCGAATATTTTTATTCTTTTTGGTCTGGGGATACATTCTCCAAGTTTCAGGGTCACACTTGGTGGGGCTCAAAGGACCATATGGGGTACTGGTCAAACTACATGTGAGGAAAATGCCCTACCTGTGTACTATTGTTCTAGCCCCAACCAAAGATTTTTAAGAATGTAAATTGCATAGTTAAATATTTCATTTGTAATTAAATTTGTCATAATGAGATAACTGTGCATTCACAAGGAACTAAAAAAATATCTGGAGAGATTATGTGTAACTTTTCCATTTAAAAGATAGTGTCTTTATAAATTCATAAGACTTCATATATAAAAGTCTTCATAAATTGCCTTAATCTTAGCAATATTGAACAACTTTTAATGGATTTGATAATTGAAATTGTCTCTGGGTTTTATAGTCTCTGAGTCTTGGCCGTTGGTTGATGGGATTACACGGCGCCAGGGGGCCAGTTGCCAGAGACTATAAAACCCAGCTCCCGGAAGCATGCAGCCGCATTCGCGGCCATGCGACATCTTATCATCTCATTCCTACCTTGGACAAAGTGGCAGAATATAACCTGCCCAGAAGGAAGAGTCTGGCAAACTCCCCGTGGTGTACCCAATATGCCAAATACCAGTAACAATGAAGAGTCTCATTCTCCTAACTCTGAAAGAGCATTGAATATGGCACTTCTTTTAAAAAAAATCTCAGGGCTAGGATGAAGGAGACGTTACTGGGGCCTGCTCAGGGCAATCGACGAATAACAGGATGGTCGTGATCGTGATAATTGAAATGAAATGCCTAATACTGTGTTTTGCTTATATTCTGATTGGCTATTTTTGAGTCTTATTCAGTCAATGTAGCACTGTAGTACTGCTCTCTCATTTTTCATCTATTTGGTCAAGCAGGCACGAGTAATGTCTCTATTGTGAGACTTGTTACTGTTTTTGGAATATCGAATATGTAATGGGTAGCTTTCCAGGCTTGCCGTGTGGGCAGGATATTCTCCGTAGCTCGCTGGGCTCTTAGAGAGGGGCGGATGATCAAACTTAGGTTGGCTGCGTGCCAGGCAAACACCCTACCCACTATAATAATTGTTACATATGTGATTTTCAAAAATTTTTCTTAGCCTGTTGCTTTACTTTTATTACCCTTAATCCCTATGGTAATCAGGGACATTTAGAAGAAATATATGAAAGGATATAATGACATACGTTTTTCATCCATATTATAAAAAAGTAAACAAATGTTAAATACAACATACATTATTTTCAAAACCAGAATAAAAAACCAAATTGCAGTAATCATGTGTAATATGTTAGTTAGTAGTCTAATTCTAAAAGCAAGAAGAAAATAGAATGACATTTACAAGCATTATTGAATGTAAAGAAACTCCAGTCAGAATCTTCCCTGCAATGTCTCACTCAGAGACTTAAGAGGGATAAAAACATTCTCAGACAAATAGCAGCTGAGGATATTTATGCAATCTGAACCATATCTGGCAGGAATACTAAATAAAAATAACTTTTTAAAAATCAAAGATTAAATGGCATAATCATCCAAATACCTCAGAAGCACGTGGAAACAAATACTTTTATATCAGTGCTTTCTCTATATGTCATAAAAATACTTCATGAAAAGGCAAAGAGTGGCTAAATGGATCATGAAACAAACTTATACTTCTGTTGCTTTTAAGTGACACACAGAAACTAATATGGTATGCACAGACTCAGCATGAGAGGTAAAACAATCTTCTGAAGTAATGGCAGGCTTATGAAAGCAGAACAGTCACACTGGATTCTGACCAAAGTCTAAGCTACATAAATTAATTTGAGTTAGGGATGGACATTCATTACTGGTTAAGGGACTGATATATCAAGAAGATTTAAGTCTCATCAAAATATTTTCAGTGAATGAGAGGGCAGCATGTTTTACAAAGCAACTGCTAATATTATCTGAGAAGATAAATTGATGGCAACATAATTATACTGGGAAACTTGAACATACCATTCTGAACTTTGGAAATGTTGATCATATAGAGTATCAATACATAAATGAGAGCCCTAAAGGAGGAATTAGAAGATCTTGGCCTAATAATAACTCCTTTAAATGCTGCAGCACACATTAGGCATTCTCTAAGGTAGATAACCAAATGGAAAACAATTCAAATAAGATAAAATCACAAATAACAATAATATTAAGTATTGTCCCATATCACAAAATCATAAAAGCATAAATTGATCATAGAAATACAGTTGTGGAATGTTCTAACAGTTGGTAATGCACCGAAAAGCGAATTGGATCAATGAAAAAGAAAAAAATACTTTTAGAAAAATTTGAATTATAGCACAAATATTGGAACTTATGGGTTTCAATATATGGGAAGTTCATAGCAATTCAAACTCAGATCAGAGAGCGGTAAGAACTAAAATCAATGACTTAACTTCAGATTTAGGAAACAAGAGAGAACAAATTAATATCAAAGTAAAAATATGATTTTCTTTCCTCCGCCATCGTTGTGGTATGAACATGGCGAAGCGCCATGTCTTCTCACAAGACTTTCAGGATCATGTGGTTCCTGGCCAAAAACCCAAAGCAACCAGTGCTGGTGCAGAAGTGGTGAGAAAGGGACCCTCCTTCACTGCTGGCGGGAATGGCGACTGGTTCAGCCCTTTTGGAAAACAGTATGGACGATTCTCAAAAATTAGAAAACGAGCTCCCATTTGACCCAGCAATACCATTCCTGGGAATATATCCCAGAGAGGCAAAAATGTATAGTCGAAGTGACATCTGCACTTGTTTGTTCATTGCAGCACTCTTTACAATAGCCAGAAACTGGAAGAAACCTGAATGCCCAAGAACAGATGACTGTTTAAAGAAACTTTGGTACATCTACACAATGGAATACTATGTAGCTGTTAGAAAAGATGAAGTGATGAAATTTACATACAAGTGGTATATGGAAAGTATCATGTTAATCGAAATGACTCAGAAAGAAAGGGATAGAAATAGAAAGATTGCATTCATCTGGGGAACATAAAGTAACAAAATAGGAGACTAACACCCAAGAATGGCCGAGATTAGTACCAGGAATTTTGCTCCATGGCTTGGAGGCCAGCCACACGTGCTAGGGGAAAAGGGAGCTCAGATAGAGAAGGGAGCACCAAATAAAGGGTGTTGGGAGGATCCTCCCAGGATGGTAGAAGCATACTGAAAGTAGACTATAGACCAAACATGATTGCCACCCATTGCCTCTTTTGCAAGCAACAACACCCAAGAGGAGAGAGAGAACAAAAGGGAATGCCCTGCCACAGAGGCAGGCTGTGATGGGGGGGATGGGTGGTGGGAGGGATACTGGGATCCCTGGTGGTGGGAAATGGGCACTGGTGGAGGGATGTGTGTTTGATCTTTGTATAATTGAAACCCTAGCACAAAAATTTGTAAGTCTAAAAAAAAGCAGAATTGGCCTATCCCTCAATGGATTAGTATGAAAACTGGTAAAAAGATCAGGTACAACTCCAAGAGGAGGCACTGGGGAAGGACCAAACTGGGTCTGTAAGGAAAGTCTTAGGAGTCGTATGTGCATTTGCTGTGATGTGCTGCTAGTATCTTGAACACAGCACGCAGAAAGACACCACAAGTCTGAAGTCATGTTTCTTTGATTAGGAAATCTGTTCATCTTCTCTAGCTTCTGTACTTTGTTGCTAATCTGGTAATAAATCTTGTGATACTGTGAAAAAATAAAGTAAAAAGATGAAGAGAAATAGCAGAAATCACTGTAGCACTCTAGCACTATAGCACTATTCTCCCGTTGTTCAACGATTTGCTCCAGCGGGCACCAGTAACATCTCCATTGTGAGACTTGTTGTTACTTTTTTTGGCATATTGAATACGCCATGGGGAGCTTACCAGCAGAAATCAATGACATAAAAATTAAAAAATAATACAAAGGGTCTATTAAACCAGTGAAACCAAAGAGCTTATTTTTGAAGACTGGGGAAGTTGGCAAACTCTTTTATAAACGCATGAAAGGAAATAAAGATAAAGACAAATAAATCATATCAGAGTTTAAGAGTGAGTAACTAAAATTGATGCTTTATAAGCACAAAATAACTAATGAGCTTCCTGTGCATAAATCTATGCGATCAAGCTGGAAAGAATAACATAAATGCATGAATTCTTTTTTTAATGTTTTATAAACCTTTTTCGGAAAGGTTACAAACTTTATATTGCCACTGCAGTTCTTAAACTCTTAAAGTGATTGTGGGGAAGTTACCTCGGATACAAATCTACTATGCTATTGAATCTTGCCCACTCTGGTTGTAAATTTTGTACAATGGAGCTAGAGTGGATAGGGCAATAATTTAGGCCTTGATTAATGCCAATTTTTTCAGGTTCTAGTCAACCTAGAAATAAATTACAAATTTATAATTGGGTTCAGGGCTGGCATAATACATTTAAAATTGTTTTTAGTTTCCCCCATTTTTTTTCTTTTACAAATGTAAAATGTCCAACTGAAGTCTCTTTTCCTTAAACGTGTGTTCTAAAAATATTTACTATGGGAATGTAAATAGTACTGCTATTTATTCAGCCATTGATAAAGCTGATTGCATTGAGTATAAACTCCACATTACTTATTTTAATTCAGAATGTTAATTTTATTTTATTATTTTTGATTATTTTTAATCACTGTGAGATTACAAAGCTTTCCTGTTTGAGTTTCAGTCATGCAATGATCAATCATTCAATCCTCCACCAGTTCACATCTTCCACCACCAAGAAACCTAGTATACCCCCATCCCACTATTCCCCTACACTCTCTTTTGCATTGCTTGTTATGAATAGCATAAGACGTTGTGTGGCCATGATAGCATCCACATGCTCCTGGAACTCCAAAACTCCAGATAATTAGCATTGGAGAAATCTCTGCAGTGGGCTGATCAGTTCAAAGTTTCTTTTGTGTGTCTATGAATCACAGATGCCAAGAAGCTTAAGTAGCAGTCAGAGGCAGTTTGTGGGCGTGACCTTCAGGGTCCCATGGGGACAGGCGGATAAGAAGGACCCTCTATTCCTTGAGGTCTGGAGTTTGCAGTCACTGAACCCACATACCTGCACTTCTCATTGGAAGTTAGGGGTTGCAGGGGTTTTTAGGGGGCAGATGGAGGACGACTCCTACCCCCATCTGAGGCACCCTGGTAATGTTGGCCTGTCTTAATGTCTGGAGGCATCTCTGTAGTGAACTGTTTGGTTTGGAGATTCTAATGTGTGTGTGTCTGGATCATGTCCCTTGTTTCCATCTTTACCAGAGAAATAAACTATTGGCATGTGTCTTGCAGGAAGTGCTCACTTGCCCACAGTCCACTGCTCTGCTGGCCCTAACTGCAATTTTTGATCTCTTTTGAGATTTATGGGTCTCTGAAATAAGGCGAATAAATGAGCACGTATAGCTGAGCAGGAGGTGGTTTGTGGGTTTGGCTCCCACACACCTAACTTTTGGCAGTTTAATTTCTTGGTAAACTTGGCCCCAATTTGTTGGGGTCTATCCAAAGGCACAGCGGAAATTTTGGGGTATCAGGAAGTCTGAAGCATCATCAAGCTGATGATGCACTTGCCCCGCAGGTACAGGTTGACCTGCTGGTGGCACCATACCCCATCATTATTAATAATAAATATAAACAAACAAGGCTTAAACTGTAACAAACATTTTAGTAATCTGTTATATAAGGAATTAATAGCTCTATGGTGAGATACAATGATCTTCACTAGCTTTCTTCTAAGGAATATTTTTATCATTATTTTAGCAAATTATTTATTGTATGCAACACAAGGTAAATTATTGAAGGCCTGCTATAGGCACAGGTTGAAGTGGTATTTGGAAAAATTGAAAATAAAGGTGGTGGTAAGGAGGAATGATGGTAGGGTTGCTTTTGGAATATTGAATATCTGTAACAAAACATAATGAAAAACTTTGTAAACCACAGTACTAATGCAAAATGTAAGGAGGAAAGAAAATTAAAATGAATAAAGTTTTTTAGAAAAATATCCACGCCCTAAAAATCACTAACAGGAAGTCAGTCTTTCAATGTCATGAAAAATATATATAATTGAAGAGTTAAATAATACAATAGGAAGTCACAGCAACAAAATCAAGAGGCAATATCTGTGATATTGAAGATAAAGTACTATTTATTACCAATAACAAAAGTAAATTTATGCAAGAGAATGTAAGATTTGTGGTAGACAAGAGCAAGAGAAATCTTTGAATTATAGGAATACCAGGAGAGGAAAAAGGTAAAGGGAAGAGAGACTGTGAAAGAACTAATAACTGACAACTTTCCTGATACCTCTATAAATCTCTTTCACAGATTAGAAGGTCCAAAAGTATCAAACAAAATATACTCAAAAAACTCATCAAGATCTTAGATCCAGGTCAGCACAGCTGCCGGCTCGCGACCCTGGGACCTCCATCTTTCCCTGCAGGACCCCAGGTGTCCCCCGAGATGCCTGAAGAGAAGCAGTTTTGAGCGTCTGCCCTGCCCTCTTCACTCCTGACTACGGCGCCCATCTCATCCCAAACCCAGGGTTCTGTAGAGGCGTGGCCTCCTCAAAAGTGGGCGTTGCCTCAAAGTGGGCGTGGCCTAATTTCCAGCTGGCGGCCGCAGGTTGTTTTCCCATACTAAGGAACCTAGTCCCCAAGGAATCTAGTTCCCAACCTACTCAGCAATATGAAGAAACAAAGAAAATCTCCAACACAAGGGGAGAACAATGAAAACAATCTAGACCATTCCGACAATACAGCTCACCTAAGGGACCTCTCTGACATAGAATTCAGATACGAAGTCATGAAGATGTTCAATCAACTCAATGAAACAGTCAGACAGACAGCCAGTAATACCACAGAAAAAAATCAACAAATTACGAGAAGAAATGAGAGCAGAAATGTCACGATTAAAAGATTCCATAGATGAAATGAGAAACTCAGTTTCTTCTCTTAAAAATAGAATGACCACAGTTGAAGAGAGAATCAGTGAGCTGGAAGATCAGATGCAACAAGCCAACACGCAACAACAAACAGTGGCAAGGGACCTCACAGAAATGAATGCTTCCCCAAGAATACTCTATCCGGCTAAACACTCCCTCAAAATCAAAGGAACGGTACACTATTTTATAGATAAACAGCAGCTCACGAACTTCATAGACTCAAAACCAAACCTAAAGCAAGGCCTAAAGGGGCTACTATAAGAAAAGACAAACCCTACAACCACAACACACCCGCACAGAAAGATGACAGAAAACCCCATAACCATTCTCTCTCTCAATGTCAAAGGTCTAAATTCACCAGTTAAGAGACACAGAGTGGCAAAATGGATACAGAGACAGAACCCAACATTCTGCTGTCTACAAGAAACTCACCTCAACAGCCAGAGCAAACACAGACTCAAAGTCAAAGTCAAAGGATGGAAAACAATCCTGCAAGCACACAACTCCCTCAAAAAGGCTGGGGTGGCCATACTAGTATCCGACAACATTAATTTCATCTTGAAAAAGATTAGAAGGGACAGTGAAGGCTATATTCTCTTCATCAAGGGATACGTACAACAGGAAGAAATCACACTCTTAAATGTATACGCACCTAATGAGGGAACAGCTAAATATTTAAAACAACTGCTAACAGATTTTTAGGAGGACATCACTACCAACACAATAGTACTTGGAGACTTCAACATCGACTTATCACCTCTGGATCGATCAACAAGAACAAAACCCAGCAAGGAATTATTGGCTTTGAAAGAAGTAATAGAAGAGAAAGGGCTTATGGACTTATACAGGGCTTTACACCCCCAAAAGAAAGAATGCACATTCTTCTCCAGCGCGCACGGAACATTTTCCAAAATAGACCATGTGCTAGGACACAAAACATATCTCAACAGAATCAAGAAGATAGAAATAGTATCAGCCATCTTTTCAGACCATGATGCACTGAGGATAGAAGTGAATCACAGAAAGACACGGAGAACCAAATCAAACACCTGGAAATTAAACAACTCGATGCTGAACAATGAGTGGATCAGGAACGAAGTCAAGGACGAAATCAAAAGATACCTGGAAACAAATGAGAATGAAGACACAAACTACCAGAACTTATGGGATGCAGCGAAAGCTGTATTAAGAGGAAAATTTATAGCTCTGCAAGCATATCTTAAGTCGATAGAAACGATGCACATAAACAATTTGACCTCACAGCGCAAGACCTTAGAAAAGGATCAACAGAAAGAGCCTAAATCAGGCAGAAGGAAAGAGACCATAAAACTTAGAGCAGAAATCAACGACATGGAAAACAAAGAAACAATCCGAAAGATCAATGAAACCAAGAGCTGGTTCTTCGAGAAAATAAATAAGATAGATAAACCACTAGCAACACTCACAAAGAAACAGAGAGAGAAAACCCTAATAAATTGAATAAGAAATAAGAATGGGGATATCACAACAGAAAACAAATAAACTCAAAAGATGATCAGAGACTACTTTGAAAGTCTGTATGCCACGAAACAAGAGAAC